AACCTCATGACCTCATACCAACTCATTTGCTTGACCGCGTCTACATCACAAGACACGAGTTCACGCAGTTGCCTTTAAATAGAAGGTGGTGCACTGCAACTTCATACCGGCAATGAGGGCAGTCCTGGAGATGGTGCTTCGAGTCTTCATACTAACTGTGCTGGCATTTTCAGTGGCCAACGGTGAGTGCATTTATATTGCTATGTCAGGGCTCATATTTACAAAACTGCCCTCTGCCCTATAATGTGTAGTTATACTTTTGTAAGAAAAAACTTAGTTAGGCAGTGTGCAGTTTCAGTCGGACACGGGACTTGATCACTTCAGTATGGTAGTTGGCCTTTGGATGAAATTCCACGTTGTTACTATTGTTATATGCTAACCCAATATGATTAGGTTCATTACGATCCATTTTAATTAAAATATGCTTTTACCACTTATAGCTACATATTCAACCAGCATGACCTTCTCTGTTAAGAGTATTTCTAGAAGAAATGGCCCACACTACATATATATACCTATTTCGAGCGAAACCTCAGTAAGTTTTTTTTCCGATTCTTCAAAGCTTTTTTGAAGTATCCATCATCCATCCTTAACTGCAAATTTAATTTTCTAATAGCAACTGAACTTCACAATGGATGGTGACCACTACACAGCCGCCAATGGGAGATGTTACCTGAGGTCCTCTGTGGATTTCGAATTTTTTTGTCCTGTTTTGTTCTGCTACAGTAAGTTGTTTTTTTTTCTCGTTTTGCAAGTGGTCTTATGTTAAACTTTGACTATGCCCTACGACTGTTCCGAATTTTGTCCTTGTTTGATCATAATATTATATTTGTAACTGGACGGCTTGAAAAGCATCAGTGCCAAAGCTATATATATCGACTCTTATTTCACAGGTTCCGAGGGATGTCATGTCGTAATCTCAATTCCAGATGTTGCCTTTTTGGGAGAATTGAAGTATATGGTCAATGAAACGCATTACCATGTGTATGATCATGGTAAGTGCATCTGCCGTTTTGAACGTTATAATGCTAACTAATGGTGCTTTCACGATAGTTGAATCCTAATTTATTCTTATGCGCCCCTATTTGGCATGCTCCCCTTACACGGGTGCCCAGTGCAGTATTTGTATTGGGATAAGGTCCATAGATGGCTTAACCTACTCAAATACTTTGTCACATCAAATGGGCATAATTTGAACATTCAGTTATTACAGCGATTTTCATCTCTGGTGTGCATGAGCACTCCTACAGGGAATGTGAATTATGACTATCTACTTAAGTGCTGCTCGAATGTAGTTAGTAAAACACGGAGGAAATAATCTTCCTTCGCAAGGAAATGATATAATTTCTCTTCATCCACAACAAACCGTTATGTTGTGTTAGTGGATTAAAAAAATATAGTAGTTCGATATTTGGCAGAATAAAGTGTGTGCATTTATGAGAAGAAGAAGAATAAGAAGACTGGATCGCTGGAACAATACGTTTATTCCCTTGACGTTTCGAGATCCGTAGCGGATTCATTATCAGAGACATGAGTATGAAACAGTAGCAGAAACGGGTGTATTTATCTTTTAAAGAACGGCATAAATTCTGCTTGGCATGAACCAACTGACTCATGGCTACAACATACCCGAATTATCTTGCCTGAATTATACATCCTTTCCATGTTTACCAGGTTTTTTTAACTTCTTCCTCAAATAGAACCGGATATCTGTGGCTCGCGACATCACACATATCAAGACCAAAGTGGTTCATTAATTGTTACTACGCTTCTTCCAGGACCACCATCGGTAAGCTTGGTACACGCAAGGGGATTTTTTACCGGTGAAAGATTTTTGGCTTTTTAATAATGTAACATCTCGTTCTTTAAGACCATCATCCTAGTCGATTCTGAATACGCCGTCGATGCCGATGATGGAATTTGCAGGGCTAGAAATTCAACAGCTGCCTTTAGATGCAAGGTCCAGATATGTAAGCGAATATTACCTTTTTGGTCCACCTGAGTTGTTCCTCGCATCTAAAGATAAGACCGTTTGTATTGATAAGGACGCTAGGTGCTAATTTAACCTGCCGTGCAAAAATTAAAAATGATGTGTTAAGTTCCTTATCCCTGTACTCTGCTATTCCACAGTTAAACATGATCGATAATGTGGCTCATCAGCTAAAGG